CATGCGCGCCTACAGGCGGCATCGCTACCTGAGCATGCGCGGGCCTTCCGCGTGCGGCGTCCATGCCTGAGCATGCGCAGACCGTCCGCGCGCTCAACGTGCGAGGCCGTTAGCCGTACAAGATGGCGTCATGGCGGGGCGAGAAGCTGAGGCGGCGCTGATAGAGCGCCACCCACCGAGGGGCCCACACCACAGACTTTGATCGGGAGGCCGGAAGTTCAGAACCAAGTCGTGCACGGGCTGGTTCTTCTGAGGGCTGAGGGACAGATCTGCTCCAGCTCACACCGGAAGCTGCCATTCAGCTGGGAGAAGCCAGGAGAGACACGGTGTCCCCTGCTCCAGAACGCCAGAGCCTGGGCTGTAACCGAGCAGTGCCCCTGAGCTCTCCGGGCCTCCGTGTCTCCGTCCGTGAACGCCGGAGTTAGCGCCAGAGAGCAAAACCTGGCCGTTGCTCTCCTTCTCAATGTTTGCTCGTCCTGCGTGGTTACAGATGGAGCTTGAATTAGCCACAAACCTGTAAAAATGAAGAAACTTCATCTAAAACCCAAGACTTCTGAGAAGTGGGCCCTTCTTCCTTCACAATGGTGATTGGGCAACGCCATCACGGCCCCCTTTAGAGGTCTCCCAAAGCCTGTTTTAAAAACCCGGGTCCCTGTGAAAAGGATTCTGGGAGATGAGGGTAGAGTTGGCAGATCAAATTGGCAAAGCAAATCCAACCCTCGGCGAGCTGGATTTCGGGAAGGAATTTCATGCCATGCCGAAGTTTACCACCAGGGGGAAGCAGAGCTGCAGCGTTGACCTGAGTCCTCTACGGGGACGTTGTGGGCCTGGGGTGCCTGGAACCGAGGAGGGGCAGGCACTGCGAGCAGGGGCAGCTGTAGGGCTGTGCCTGATCCCGAGCCCAACAACCTGAGGAGGCCAGAGGAGGAGCTGAGCCAGGACTAGAAGGGAGGCGGGATTGGGAGAGCAGGGGGCGAAGCGCAGCTTGACTAAGACGCGGTGAGGGGACCGCGCTTACCCCGTGTGGGCCTGAGGCAGAGCGCATCGGTGTCTGAAATTCCGGGGCTCTCAACTCGCATGCGCGTGGGTACGAGGGCCAGAAAGCCACCTCAAAGGGACTTCAGAAGGAAAGGTCGTTCTCTGAGGCCCCTGCAAAGCCCAGGAGACGCCTTCAGTCCTGGCTGCATCGGGGGCCCAAGGGACATGGCTGTGCTCCAGCCTCGCAGTGCAGTGGGCCCATGCTCGGGCTCCTGCTGGCGATGGGGTGACAGACACCCTGCTTATTCATAAAGACCCTGCGGGACGTCCCGGGGTCCCTGCGCAGCGGACAGGCCCCAGCTGCGGCTGCAGCTTTCCTTGACATGGTCTCTGTCACAGGCCATCTGGACGGGCGGAGGATGGGGCAGTCCCAGAAGACGGGACAGTGGGTGCTGGGTAGGCAAAAATGAGATGGAGAGGACGGACTGGTGGTGTGCGTCTCGCCTTCAGCCCACCTAGAGCGACAGGGCTGTTTCCCCTCGGGGAGGCCACTCCCGGGCCGACGTGGAGGACATGGCAGAGGCCTGGGGACAGGAAACCAGCCCTGCTCTCTGCAAGAGGCACACTAGGGCCTGGGAGTCGTCTTGGACAGGAGCCATGACCCGGGACCCTCCCCCACCCACAACCGCATCACACACACACACACACACACACACACCTGCAATCTGCTCCACTTCCAGGCTTTGTCGTCTCCTCGGGACCTGCCCCTCTTGCTCCTCTCTTGTTGTGTGGACCCCCTGCCCTCCAGGACCGCAGACCCTCCGGTGGGATGAAGCTCCCACTCTCCCCACCTCGCAGCCCCTTTCTGCTTTTTGTCTCCGCCTGCAGAGGATGTCGAGGTCACCTCGCTCCCTCTCCCTAAATCTCAGAGCTTCTCCAGCTGTGCCAGGGTCCCGTCACAGCCCAGGGGGTACACAGCACTTCACAGTGGGTGCCACCCACCCTCCCGTTCCCTGCCCAGGAAAGTGGGCCGTTCCCAACCGCTCGGTGCAGAAACCCGGCCGTCGCCCTCCTGGCGTGGGCGGCTCCAGGCCAATGCCATCCCTACGTGCTACCTTGGTTTCTCACCTGTAAGAGCGGTGGCCCCGTTGGGCCCCGCCAAGGCACACGGAGAGCCCCTCCCCACAGAGAGCTCCCTGGCCGGGAGCTGTAGCAAGCAAGGCTTGTTCCATTTGGGGGCTGTGTGGTGTCTTAATCTGACTTTGGCTGTGTTTAAACGGGAGCACACATTCCCCGAGAGGCCAGGGGCTGCACCACCCCTCATCTGTTGAAACACTCTGGCCTCTGATCCCTGTTTCCCGGCTCATCAGTTCCCACTGACTCCAACAAACACCCTGGGAGAGCGGAATGAGCCCTTCCCCACTATTTCACAGACAGGGAAACAGCGGCCAAGCGAGGAATTCCCAAGCAATAAACAGGAAGCACCGTGGGGGTGCTCATGAGAAAGATGCTGTAGTCAGAGAGACTTGGGCTTGGGGCCCAGGGACCCCTGCCTCTGTGGGACTCCAGCTTCCGTGTCTGTATAATGGGTCGTCGTTGATCTGATTGAACAATCAATGATGCTCCCCAAATCCTCGTTATATTCTGTGTCACAGGAAACAGGGCAGCCGTTCTAGAGGGAGGGGATGCCCTGCCCTTGGGAGGGTTTGGCCCAGCCCCTGCTCCTTGGCTCTGGCCCTACTATGCTGGGCCCCTTCTCAGCAGAGGTGCCTGCTTGGCCTGGGGTATGGTCCCGCTAGGAAATGGGGACCTGGAGACCGACATCTTCATTCCCGGGCTGCGAAGTTGTTTAATTGTGTGGATGTTGGTGCTGCTGCCACCAAGCCCTGTTCCTCAGAGCCGTGAGCTGGCTATGCTCACAGCCGTGCTTGGCTGAGAAGTACATTCATTACGGAGATGGCTTTTATCGGGACTTGCAGAGGGCCTGGGGACAGGGAGTGAGGCACGCAGGCACGCTTCCTCCCCGGGGTGCAGCCGGGCTACGTTCACAGGCCGGCGTCCTGACAGTGTTCCTGTATTGATCACGCGCACCGAATGAGACAGGAATCACGGCCATCATCCTGTGCCATTGTGCCAGCAGGGCTGAGACAGACCAGGAACAGGCCTGGGCACTTGAAGTTGGACCCCAGACCAGGCATCAGCCTGCCTGGCTGGCTCGCCGAGGCCCAGAGAAGGGAAGTGATTCAGCCAAGTTCACTTGGCTGAGCCCAAGCTGCTCTTCCATGATGATTTTGTGGCCAAGTGTCCACCATAACAAGCGATGTCCAGCCACAAGGTCCATAAGAGCAGCACCTGTCCACACAGTGGGTCAGCAAGGACAGGGCATGGTGCTGAGATCTGCAACCCCCCCCCCCCGGACATGAGTGGAGACGGACACCCCCTCTTTCCGGAAAGGCTAGCTAGGCAGGGGGGGGGGGGCACTTGCCCAAGGCTGCCTGACTGGTCAAGGAAGCAGCTGCTTTGTTTTGTGTTTAACTCTGGGCACTGTCTGGCTACAACTTTATGTCCTAACCCAGCCCTTCTGCTGCCCCCTACAGCTCTAGGGAGGCCACTGCTGGTCGCGGGGCCTTGGTGCACTTCTAATCTCTCAGCAAATCTTTTTATTTTTTTAATCATAATTTCCCAAGGAAACCTTTTATTTAAGGAATATATACTTCATGCATTTCATAAGTACAACTTTAGGAATATAGTGATTCTTCCCACCATACCCAACCTCCCACCCATACTCCAACCCCTCCTCCTCCTCCCTCTCCCATTCCCAGTCCCATTCTTCACTAAAATCCATTTTAATTTTATACACAGAAGACAAATTCTATACTGAGTTCAACAATTTGCACGAAAAAAAAAAACAGTTCCTCAACAATGTGGATAAGGGTGTTCAAAATCATTGCATCTTGAAGTTAATTTTGCTTTTTTGGGGGGAACGTAATTAAAGAAGCACCCAAGAATGATACATCTTTTTCAAGAACTTAGACATAATTGTAATACCACTCTTTGAGGACAGAGGTCCTGCATTGGAAATTAGGGCACAGTGACTCCTGTTGTTAATTTAACAATCAACACTCTTACGTATGACGTCAGTGATCATCCGAGGCTCTTGACGTGAGCTGCCTAGGTCTTTTTGACTCCTTCAGTGCTCATCTGGGGGGGGGGGCTGGGGCAGGCTCTAGAGAGGAAGAGGATGTTACATGCCACAGCCTCTGGCCTCAGGGTTTCTGAGGCCTGCACCTTACGGGCCCTGGGGCGGGGCCCGGGACAGACCACCTACAACCCAGTGACTGGCATGCTTGTTAGCGGGGCCACTGGCAGCCCCAGAAATCCCGATCAGGAGGTTGGAGCCCTGGGCACCTGCACTGAAGAAAGCCTGCCGGGGCTGCTGGTGTGCAGACCACACGGAATCCGACTCTGCCCGATTTTACCCGTAAGTCTTACACAGAGAACGCTCTTTCCTGTCCAAGGCCTCAGAAGAGTGATTTTAGTCGTTTCGCAAACAACATTAAACAAGTTTGTAAAATGCTGAAAGTGCTCTGAGTTCACGTGCAGACATCAGACAGCACAAGATGGTGATGGGCTGTGATCACTCACAGCCTCTCTCTCTCTCGCTCTGCTTCCAGAGCTGCCCAGAGCAAGCCCCTCCCTGGATGCTTGCTGATGCCCACTGGGGTCACACATGGCACTGGGCCCTGGGCGACAGGGGCCTGCAGGGCCAACAGCCACCATGACCACGGCACTTGATGCCCATCACGTGCTTGTGTGGCCTCTGTCCCCTTGCTTCTAGGCCCTGCCAGGGAGCTCTGGGGTGGGACTAGGATTATTCACTGTTCGGAGAGGAGAATGGACTTCATCATCTCACTCAGGATGTCCCAAAGTTTGTCAGAGTCCAGTTTGGGTCGGACGCCAGCTGTACAGGAATGCAGATCCCCAGGTTCAACCCAGCAGCTTCCTGGGGGAGTGAAGTTTTCACACACAACACACCCATTTTTAAAACAATATATTTTATTTATTTGAAAGACAGAGTTACAAAGAGAGGTAGAGACACAGAGAGAGAGGTCTTCCATCTGCTGGTCCATTCCCCGGATGGCCGCAATGGCCGGAGCTGCGCCAATCCGAAGCCAGGAGCCTCTTCTGGGTCTCCCAGGTGGGTACAGGGGCCTACTACTGCTGCTCTACTGGTCTCCCAGGCCACAGCAGACAGCTGGATAGGAAGTAGAGCAGCTGGGACGTGAACCGGCGCCCATATAGGATGCCGGCCCTGCAGGCGACGGCTTTACCTGATATGCCACAGTGCCGGCCCCACAACATACCCACTTTAAAAAAAAAAAAAAAGATTTATTTGAGAGGCAGGGTTACAAAGAGAGGGACACACACACACACACACAGAGAGAGAGAGAGAGAGAGATCCTCCATCTGCTGGTTCACTCTCCAAATGGCCATAATGGAGCTGAGCCAGGTCAAAGCCAGGAGCCAAAAGCTTCATCCAGGTCTCCCACATGGGTACAGGGGCCCAAGCACCTGGGCCATCCTCTGCTGCTTTCCTAGGCACATTATCAGGGAGCTGGATCAGAGGTGGAGCAGCCAGGACTCAGACCACTACCCATCTGGGATACCAGCATGAAGGTGGAAGCTTAACCCACTATCCCATAGCACCAGCCCCACAATACCCCATTTTGACCCACACATTCCCAGACTCCCACTGCCCAAGCTGTCCTGGGAGGTGGGAGATGGGAGACGGTGGAGATGTGTGTGACTTTGGAGAAGCCACAGCCCTCATGGCAGAGACGCAGAAGTAGCGGGCAGCTGGCTGAGTCCCAGTCCCTGCCCCCAAAACCTCTCCCTCCTCCTCTCAAGATGCGCAATTACCCAGCCCCCAGCCGCTAGGTGATCCCAGCTGCTTCTGTTGTATCTAATTAGTCAAGTGGAACATTAATTAAATGTGAGAATAATAGACCAGAGACCAAATAAAATAAAATAAAACAAAAACCACCAAAAAACTCCACAAAGTAAAACCCAAGAAAGAAGTCCCTTCCGAGGGCCATGCAGCAGGCAGAACCCTTGACTGTGTGATAACGAGGGCTGTCACCTGGCATTCCCACTGTGCCAGGCGACTCAGCACTGGATGGTGCTGTCCAAGGAGCTGGGGGAAACCAGGGTCGTGGGTCACCTGGAGCTCGGTGAGGCAGGCTGCCACACGGGGAAACGAGACGCCGGGGTGTGGTGGGATGCGGGATCAAAAGGCAGGCCGAACCACTCCCCCACCTTCCCTGTTCACCTGGGCAACTCCTGCTCGCTGCCCAAAGCCCAGCCTGAAGCCCCCAGCCCAGGAAGCAAAGGTGAATCCTTGCTCTCCCTGGCTGCTACTCTCCTCACGGTGCGGGTTTTGGACCACACAGCTATCCTGGGCTGATATCCCCACATCTGCCTGCCCCCAGCCACCCCCAAGCGGACTGGCACTAGCTGAAGTACATTTCCCACCTGAAGGCCTCGGACAAGGTGTGGCAGGTGTTCACCAAGCAGCGTTCTGCCGAGACAGAACCTGGGGCTGGTCAGCTCTGGTTTTTGAGTCCTCCATGGAGCTAAAGGCTTGCCCCAGGCCCGGCCAGTACAAAGAGACAAGATGGAAGCTTCTGGAACCTCAAGGTCCGCCTCAGTATCACTCTAACCTCCTTCCTCAGCAGGGTCTCTCCAGTGAGCTCCTGAGACACCTGTATCCGAACCACCTGAGGCCCCATCCCAGACGTGCTCGCTCACAGTCTCAGTCTTCAGATGGGGGCGAGCGAGGAGGTGAAGATGGGCGAGGGTGTGGGACACGCGGGGACCCAGGTGGAGGGGAGACCCATAATGGGGGGGGCATGTGGATCATGGAGACCCAGATGGTGGGTTCTGCAGGGAGCCATGAAGAGACACACCTCTTGCCAACCCGCAGGGGTGCTGTTTCCTCCTTTGGCAAGCAGTAAAGTTATCTTAATTAAACACAGGGCCCCTAATGAAACAATGAGGGCTATTACACACTCCGCTGCCTCCTGCCAGAGCCTATAATTGAGGCAGCGATCCCAGGAAGAACACAGACTGCCCGATGGTCCACCCTCACCCCGCCAGAGGGAAACGGCTGTGAGCTGGAAGAAACCGCCGACTGCTTCGTCGCTCCGGGATCCTGGAGCTGGGACGGCTGCCCTGGGGTCCGGAACGGCGCCTACTCCTGGCTCCCAGCCTCCCTCCCTCGGGGTCAGGTTTCCAGGCCCCCACTATTGGGATTGCCAATCAACCTCTTTCTGAAATGAACACAGAGAACGGAGGGGCTGGTGTGAATGGCCCTGTGGGGGCCCTGAATGTGAGACTCAGGCGATCAATATCTTGACTGCAGGTAACTTCGTGATGCGGGGTGCGGTCTTGAGGGCAGGAGACCCCAGGTCTGAGTGGGAAGTAATGCCCACCTGTCTGGAGCCCATTTTGCCAACATCCAAATTCCCCAAAGAGCATGACCCTGCCTGCCAACTGAGGGGGCACCGTGAACAGTGCCGGCCAACAGGAACCCACACACACGCTGCATATGCACCTTGCCTGCAAGAACCTGGACCTGTGGCTTCTCGGGGAGCCCAGGAATTGAGAGCTGCTCAGCTCCTTGCTCTGTGCTTTGCAAGAAACACTCCTTCCCCCCACTACCCTGAGGTCAGTGATTGGCTTGCCGTGTGGCACTCAAGTGCACCTGTCACAGAAACCTGGGATGAGAAAACCCCCTCCATTCAAACAGGCACCAGAGACAGTGGAGGATCCAGTCTATTATGCCCGTGGGCTCAGCTGGAATCATTTCCTGAGAACTGAGCAACAATCCCAAGTTCCTTACAATATTTATAGGTTCATCAGTGTCATACCTTAGCAATTACAGCATTGGTGTGTTTAAATTGCAGCTGCGTGACTTAGGACCACACTTGCCATGGTCGGTGGGCCTGGTATGTTTGTAAAAGAGATACCAGGGGCAGGTTTACAATTTACAGAAGCAGAACTGAGGACGTCTTCCCTCCCTAGACAAGATTACAGTGGGCAGCTGCTTCGCTAGTTAATTGCCAGCAGCCATGTTTCAAGGCTTTTGTTGGGAGAAGCGGTCCACTTTTCTTTCTTTGTCTCTGGTTGCGGCCGTATTTCCTCTACACATGCAGTTCTGGGGGTTCCATAGTAACTCCTCCAGCCAGTCTTGGGGGTGTCCTATACCAATATGGCCCAAGAGGCCCACATGAGGGGTGACAGACCATGTGCTCCCTGATAGAGCAGGCACAGGCAAGGCTGGTGAGTGAGGAAACGGAGCGCCAGAGCTGAGACCTTGGGAAGGGGAGCAGCAGAGATGAGGTCAGGGGATGGCAGGGGGTTTCAATGCGAAAGAATGAGCGCTGCGCCCTGACTCTGAGATTTAGGGGTGGGACCAGCGAGTTGCAGCCGAGGCCCTGCCCTGAGCATGACCCATGGACTTCAGGGGTTGTGGGTCAAGTGCCCCTCCTGGGACTGTCCCTGTTGGAGCACTAGACATTGCTATGCTTAAAGTACCATCTTGGCCCCAGCACACAGCGTAATAGGTTAAGCTGCTGCCTGCAGGGCCAGCATCCCATATGGGCATCAGTTCAAGTCCCAGCTGCTCTACTTCCGATCCAGCTCTCTGCTATGGCCTGGGAACCCAGGAGAAGATGGCCCAAGTGCTTGGGCCCCTGCACCCATGTGGGAGACCCAGAAGAAGCTCCTGGCTCCTGGCTTCTGATCTGCCCAGCCTTGGCCACTGCGGCCCGAGGAGGTGAGGGTGTGTGTGGTGTGAACGCAGCCCTGCACGCGCAGGGGGCACAGGCGAGACCGGATGGTGCCCGGCAGTCCCTCCCGCAGCAGGCGCCCTGTGACTGATGAGCTTCTCGAGCCCAATAAGTAGGGGAAATTAAAAGAAATTAAAAAAAAAGAAAGTTTAATAAATTCTGGCTGGCGTCATGCAGGCGGATCCGCCCCTCCCCACCCTATTATTGAGAGTCATTTTTTAGCTCGTATCCAGAGACGTCACCAGTGGATTAGCTGCAGCTGCTGGATGAAGGGAGATGGGACTTGAAGTGCCCTGTACAAACTTGTGGCACTTTCACCTCAGAGCTTAGGGTGCAAGGCTGAGAGCTGAGCTGCCTTGTGGCAGGAGGGGTGGTCACAGCCATGGGCTGGGCCGTGCTGGGGGCAGAGGCCAAGGTCACTATCTCCTAAGAGGAGATGGAACTGGCAGGAGGCAGGGTGGGAGGTGAAGATCTCTCTCATTTAGCACACACTCATTTAGCACACACAGAAAGTAGTACAGGGACCCAGCTCACACAAGGGCACAAAGACACAGACATGCACACAGGAACACACAGCAAGGATGTAAGTGGGCTTGCAGAGTCACAGAGCTCAACACAGTCAGAAATGCATGTGGGGACCCTAACACCCACAGGGACACAGAGTCAGCTATACACAAAGACGCACACAGGGACCCACAGGGAACCCCGGGTATGCCCCCAGTATACAGAAACAGCCGCACACACAGCGCTCCGAGGACCCAGCCTGTATCAACAGCTGTATCAATCCCGGCTCCCTTTGGGTTTGGCCAATGGGGATCCTAGCAGACATGAGAGGGTGGGAAATGGGAGAAAGGAATGAATCCCCTGACCCCCTCTTTGCCGGGTTCCTTCAGCATAGGGCTGCAGCACCTGGTGAGGCTGTCTCCATCGAACCGCCTGTTTCTTTGGGTTCCTGGTGACGGCTGCCTCCCTCGCCACTCTCAGCTTACAGGAGCTGCCAGGTCTCTGCCTGCTTTCCTTAACTACTGCACTTTCCCTGTGCACTCTGCCCAGCCTTTTCTACATAGTCTTTTTATTAACTTATCCCAAAGTATCCAATTCGAGGATGCCATCTATTTCCTTGCAGGACCCTGACCAGTAATAAATTCTTTTCTGTCCAGACCATATGCAGACACACAGCCGGCTGCTGCTTCAAAACAAGTGTAACCACACTTGCCTCTGTTCCAGATGGCAAGGCGGTGGTGGGCAGAGGAGTGGAGACCGGCCCAGGAGACTCTAGAGCCCTTCCCGCAGTCCTGCCCCTGCCTAGAGGCCTTTACATCTGCAAAGAGTTTCTTCTGTATCTGCAGGAGCGTCCTTCATGGCTGTCCTGCCCTGCCCTCCGGCTTCCCAACTAATAAAGCAACGTTCGTCTGCAGTAGCCCACTGAGCCCTCGGAGTAGCCCTGGAGATGTACCCAGCCCTGGCCTTGGCTCGGCCAGACCAGCGATGCGTGTGCTGGCTGGCTGGCTGCGGCCCCACCTCTCTGGCCCAGCTGTGGGCCAGAGTTAGGAGTCTTCCTTCCCTGTGACTTCTTCCCCTGGCACCTGTGCCCTGGGTCTGCATCAGAAATGGGGAGGGCCAGGCAGGTCTGTGGGGAGGGGGAGTCTTCTGCCCTGGCCAGCTCCCTGCCTCTGTACACCTGCACATAGTGCCCGTCATGAGTGCCCTCTGCCCTCTTCTCCAGCTTTTCCAGTACCCACCACCCTTCAGGGCTCCGATCAGCCTTACCTTACACTTCAAGTTTGCCTAGGCATCTCCTGTGCAGAGACATCTCACACAGCTCATCATCAGTGCCGTGTATCTTGGTGCATAATTGTTCTCTAGTTGTTTGTGTTGTTTTCGTCATGTCTCCCAGCTGCCCACTGAGCTCCCTAGGACAGGAAACAAATCCACTTCTGTCAATCTTGTGTACTCATCCCTACAGTGACTCACTCATTTATCCACTCCTTGACTATTCATCTGCTCATCCACTCAGCCGCCTGAAGCATCATTATCCTTAAGGGCTCTCTGGCCTCCCCTCGACCACACGTGGATGAGACTGAGACACAAGCCATATTTCAAAAAGCCCAGGCCAGATATCAACCCCAGGGGCCAGGCAGAGTCCTGTGATTGTGGCCTTGATCTTGATTTATCTTCCAGAGACCCATGGGACTTTGGGTCATCTCCTAATGGGGGCACTTCTCGGGAAGACCTGAAGCTCCTTCTGGAATGCACAGCATAGCTCAAAAGTGGCTGAGGCTTGGAGAGCCAGCAGGGAAGAAGAGGCTCCCCACACCTATCCCTCTCTGGCACTCTCTCGTCTTCAGTATCTAAGCGGTTGTGGAACATGGTGGTTAACAAAGACTTGGTGGTCCACCTCATGATCTTGGACAAGTTGCCTAACCCTCTGGGTCTCAGGTTCCTCTCTGTAAAAGTCATCATTCTACTTTATTTAGTGTAATACTAAATGGAAGACACTTTGAAAACCAGAATAGAGTGCCTGGGCAGTGTGGGCTGAAGTTCTGCACAGTATCAGGATGCATGTTAGGGTTTTAATACCATCTAGTCATGTGAACAGCTGTACCGAGGCCCCCGTGCGGCAGTGGCAGGCACGGTGCTCAGCCAGGGAGCGTGCTTTGGTGCCACGTGGCCCAGCTTCCTTGCCCTGGCTGGGGCTGAGTCCTGGCCCGGCCCTGAGATCCCTTTACATCTGTGGGTTAGCCATTAGGTTGTAGGAGACAGAAACAGCTGCTCATACTGACTGGAGCAGAAACAGGAGTTAACCAGCTTGGAAGCATCATTCATGGGAAGTCAGTCGCATGCTTCCTGGTACAGTCAGCTTTGTGGTGAAGCAGAATTTTCTCAAGAGGCGGCAGAAATGGCCCAGCAGCTCTGGGCTTACACTGCACAACCCCAGCATGAGAACACCCCTGTGGCTGTTTGGTCTGATAGTCAACACACTTCTGTTCTACATCCAGGGGTTTGGGTTTGATTCCCACCTCCAGCTTCTGACTTCTGCTTCCCACAGTGCAGACCCTGGGAGGCAGCAGTGTTAACTCTCAGAACTGGGTTCCTGCACCCAGGCAGGAGGCCTGGGCTATGATCCCGACTGCTGGTTCCAGCTCCAGCCCAGTCCTGGCTCAAGTGCACGTTTGGGGAGTAAGCCAGCAGAGAGGACATCTCTCTGTCTCTCTGACTCTCGAGAACAAAATAAAAAGAATACTTTTCACATAGTTTCAGCAAAAGTCTCAAGTTGGAATTTCATTGGCCCCACTTGGCCATACATCTGTGCTTAAACCAGTCCCTGTTGCTGGGAGAGTCCATTGCTGATTGGCTGGGCCTTGATCCCACACCAACTAACAGGGCCCAGGGTAGAGGAAGGTGGTTCTGTCTTGTAAAACTGGGGCCCCTCATAAGGAAAAAGGGGGTGGAGCCAGAGGCTGATCAGACAAAGTTCATGGCCACCCATGCAGATGGGAGTAAGACTTTCTCCGAGTTTCCTTTAAGAGTGATTTGCAGTCATGGAAAGAACATTTGGGTGTAATTTGGGCCCCTAAGTGGGCCTCTGTGGCTGTTTTGTTGTTTTTGATGTTCCCTGGGCCCACTTGTAGCCCCCTTCTTTTCCCTGTCTCAGCATCCCCCTTCCAACCTCTTCCCGGCCTCGATCTCTGTTTCCTGAATCCCAGCCCGGAGTTGAATTGGGGACTCCTCTGAGGTCCAAGTACAGAGAAGGAGGCCTGGCAGGTCGGATTACAAACACAACTCCACTTGCCTGGCTGAAAGGGAGACTTACTACCCCCAGGGAAGACCAGAGGGTCAGACCTGACACCAAAGCCAGGGCCCCGCGAGGGTCCAGCCGGGCAGCACGGCCTTCTCAAACCTCTGGCCCCAGTGCTGCTGCTGCTGGAACCATGTCTGTCCCCCCACCCCCACCCCTACCCCCAGCCCCACACCAGTCTAGGTCCCGGGAGGGGAAGGATTCCCTAGGCCAAGCTGGGCCATGTGCCAGTCCCTACCATGGTCACCCTCGATGGGGACCCTGGGAGGACAGAGGGGGCCCTCTGCTTACTGGAAGTCCAGACTTGGGGACAGGGGGCCAAAGAGCCATGTCCACTCCAGATGCACGCATGGGCTCTCATGGGGCAATGAAAAGGAGCGGCCGACTCGGGGGAGGGACAGCGGGCGCCTCGTCGGGCCCCACCATGTGTCTTGGTCAACACCTGTTGGGCCCCTCCTGCCACCTCTGCTGTCATCCTGACTCATGGCCCAGTGTCGTGAGCAGATTAATAATATCTGCTGCCCCACTTCCAATATTGAGGGCCAGACTCCGCGTACTCTGAGGACGAGCTGTAATTAGCTCAGAACATCGGGGCAGAACCTACTCGTGGCTGACAGCAAGATAAATATACCTAAATAGCAAGATGATTTGGAACTGGGTTTCATTTTCCTCCCCTAATAACAGAAGCGGGGGCCGGGGTGGCCTGATGGATGACGAGGTGTCGGCTTCCTCTCGGCAAGATGCCTAGCAGCAGTGCCCAGCCCGCCTCCCACCCCAGGCCCCCTGAAGCATTCCGTTGTCCCCATGGGAATGAGCAAACATCCCCGAGATCCAAAGACAGGCTTTGTGGAACACGCCTCAAAAGTCTTGGTCTCACTCCTCCCCCTGGGGCATGTGCCACGGCAAATTGGGTGTTTAAAGAAGGGCTTAAGGCATTTTCCCTTCAAAATCCTTCCTATTAAAAGTGTTCTTTAATTCAGCAAGGAGATGTAACCAAAACATCCAAGAGAATTTTATAAAAGGACAAAGCACACACCATTGTCCGTGTTCACTAGCATCCGACACATTGGCTATTGTCATCCACCTTCCTTCCCTTCCAGGGCAGTGCAGTGGGGAAAGTGTGGGCATCACACAGGCTGGAGTTCAAATCCAAGTTCCTCTACTTCCTGACTGTGTGCCTTTGAATAATCATAGCCTCTCTCGGAGCCTTGCTCTCTTTAAGCAGAGCAAAAGTGTTCACAGCCCCCAGGAGTTGGTCCCGGCCTCCACAGTGTGGGAGGTAGACTCTGTCTTGCAGGAGGTTGGCTCTCTTCTGCTACCCACTGTTAATTGAGCAGGGCAGGCAGCAGAGAAAGGGGCAGTGCGCGAGTCCTGTCCACGACTGTAATCCTAGCTCTAGAGCTGTGCTCCCTCAGCAGATGGCATCGCCGGTGACCACAGGGGCCCTACGCTGACCACTAGACCCTGCCACAAATTAAGCCACAGGCACATGTGCCCACCTGTGACCACTAACCTGTACACTTTGGCACACACATACAAACACACCCTGTGTAGACCCAGACGCCCACACATGTGCACACACTGTCCGTGTACACAAAAAGCATGGATGTGCAGGGGCCGTTGTTATGGCTGGTCTGAGTCCTGGCTATACCACTTCCAATCCAGTTCCCTGCTATTGGGACTGGAAAGGTAGTGATGATGACCCGAGTACCTGTCCCCTGCCACTCACATGGGAGACCTGGGCGGAGTTTCTGGCTCCTGGCTTCAGCCATTGCAGCTATTTGGGGAGTGGACCCGAGGATGAAAGCTCACTCTTTCTCCCTCTCCTGTGTGTCTCCCTCTCTGTGTCACTCTGTTTTTCTTTCTTTTTAAATTAATGAATTTAGCCGGCGCCGCAGCTCACTAGGCTAATCCTCTGCCTTGCGGCGTCGGCACACCGGGTTCTAGTCCCGGTTGTCTAGTCTAGGGCGCCGGATTCTGTCCTGGTTGCCCCTCTTCCAGGCCAGCTCTCTGCTGTGGCCAGGGAGTGCAGTGGAGGATGGCCCAAGTACTTGGGCCCTGCACCCCATGGGAGACCAGGAGAAGCACCTGGCTCCTGGCTCCTGCCATTGGATCGGCGCGGTGCGCTGGCCGCAGCGCGCCAGCCGCGGTGGCCACTGGAGGGTGAACCAACGGCAAAAGGGAGACCTTTCTCTCTGTCTCTCTCTCTCTGTCCACTCTGCCTGCCAAAAAAAAATTTTTTTTTATATTAGTGAATTTATTTGACAGGCAGTTATAGACAGAGAGAGGGAGAGACAGAGAGAAAGGTCTTCCATCTACTGGTTCATTCCACAAATGGACACAAGAGCCAGAGCTGGGCCGATATGAAGCCAGGAGCCTGGAGCTTCTTCTGGGTCTCCCACATGGGTACAGAGGCCCAAGCACTTGGGCCATCCTCCGCTGTTATCCCAGGTGCATCAGCAGGGAACTGGATGGGAAGTGGAGCAGCTGGGACTCGAACTGGCGCCCATATGGGATGCCAACACCACAGACAGAGGCTTAACCTACTATGCCACAGCACTGGCCCCATCACTCTTTCTTTCTTTCTTTCTTTCTTTCTTTCTTTCTTTCTTTCTTTCTTTCTTTCTTTCTGACAGGCAGAGTGGACAGTGAGAGAGAGAGACAGAGAGAAAGGTCTTCCTTTGCGGTTGGTTCACCCTCCAATGGCCGCCGTGGCTGGCACGCTGCACTGATCCAAAGGCAGGAGCCAGGTGCTTCTCCTGGTCTCCCATGAGGTGCAGGGCCCAAGCACTTGGGCCATCCTCCACTGCACTCCCTGGCCACAGCAGAGAGCTGGCCTGGAAGAGGGGCAACCGGGACAGAATCTGGCGCCCCGACGGGGACTAGAACCCAGTGTGCCGGCACCGCAAGGCAGAGGATTAGCCTAGTGAGCCGCGGCACTGGCCTCACTCTACTTTTCAAATAAATAAATAAATCTTAAAAAAAAAACATAGGTGTGATTGTACATGCATACTCCATGTAGACACAGACCCAAGCACAGGGACACATGTACAAATGTATGCACAAATACAAACATGTGTGTGCCTTGCACACCATACAGGCATGGGCCCACACATATGTACACGCTTGCACACAGGTACATGTGAAGATGTGATTGCATGTGCACAATCACAGGTCCCCACACATCTGTGAATGTGCTGCGTGCGAGCTCAGTGCATCAGCCAACACTCCCAGGAACCTCAGACGAGCTTCCAGCCCGGCGGGCGGCGGCCCTGCAGCCCTCCACCCCTCCCCGAGCGAGCGTGAGTACCACTTAACAAGCTCCAGCTGGGCAGAGAATTGCTCCTTGGAAATCATCTGACCCGCTCAGACCCGCAATTGGCCGCTCAGCGTGAGTGCCAGGTGTCTCAAGGTGGGGTGCGGCGGTCTGGCTGGCCGGACCGGGAACGGGGCAGCCTGGCTGGGCCCTGAGCCCAGGTGGGGGCCGACTGTGCTGGGGGCCACCTCCCCAGCCCCCGGATGCTTTCCATCTCTGGGCCACACTGCTGCTCTGGGGAGCGAGCAGGGCACGGGGCGCTTCTGCTCAGGAGGGGCCGAGGAGGCAGGCCCTTGAAGAGCTCGGCTTCTTCCTTCCGTCCTGATTCTCCCCACCCCTCCGGTCCCGCTTTTGCCCCTCCACCTCCGGGAAGCTCTCGTGGATGCCTCCGGCCCTTTGTTCTCTCCCTGCGGAGCTTCAAGGCTGTTTTCCACTTTGTTTCTTCTTCTCAGAAATACCCCATCCCCCTTGTGCGTGCCTAGAGATCACGGGTGGTGGCTGCCCTTGGGCCTCTCTGAGCACAAAAGACAAGCCCGTGCTCACTCGCTGAGTCCACTCCCTATGCGTCCATCCATTCCACAGGAACTGAGCGGACAGCAGAGAAGGAGCGAGGCCACGCCTTTCTCCTCACAGAGCTAGGTTCTGCCCGAACGGCGATAACACGCGACTGCATTGAATGGCTCGGGCTGGGGGAGAAGGCAGAGTGCCCCGTGCACCCGTTTCAGCCAGGGCGGCCGGGGAGGCCTCCGCTGCTCTCTCCTCCGAGGTAGCACGTGGTTCAGGAGCTGGCAGAGCAGAGCAAGAGCCCCACAGGAGAGGAAGGGCAGAATGGGAGTGCAAGGGGAAACTGAGGCAGGGGAGTTTCAAAAAGGAGCAGGTGCAGAGTCATAACTCGGTAGGCAGCCGGAGGGATGGCCTGAAAGGGCAGAACAGGTCAGGTCTCCCCCCTGCTCTGAGCCTTCAGCGGGACTGCACAAAACCCACACTCCGCACCCTGCAGCTCACAGGGCCCGCAGGATGTGAGTCTCCCCTGCCTTTCTCTCGCCCTGTTCCTCCCCACCCGACCGACCGCGCGTCCCATGCCTAGAACTGGGCCTGAGACCTGTGCGTGCGCTGGAAGCACTCGTTGAATAAAGGCGAAATCAGTGATCAGATTGAGAACGGAAAAGTACTTCCAGGGTTCAGTGTCCACCACTGCTCAGTTCGGTAAGAAGTCCCGCATTCCAGACCTGGTTTCTATGGAGAAAGGGCAGCCACTAAATGAACTCCTCTTCGCAGAACTCCTGAGGGAACTTTTATGACTTGGGGAAGAGATGACTTTCATTATTTTGAAGGCAAGAGCAGAACACAAAGGAAAGAAGTGAGTGCGCCGGCGCCGTGGCTCAATAGGCTAATCCTCCGCCTAGCGGCGCCGGCACACCGGGTTCTAGTCCCGGCCGGGGCACCAGATTCTGTCCTGGTTGCCCCCCTTCCAGGCCAGCTCTCTGCTGTGGCCCGGGAGTGCAGTGGAGGATGGCCCATGTCCTTGGGCCCTGCACCCCATGGGAGACCAGGAGAAGCACCTGGCTCCTGCCTTCGGATCAGCACGGTGCACCGGCAGCAGTGCGCCGGCCGCGGCGGCCATTGGAGGGTGAACCAACGGCAAAAGGAAGACCTTTCTCTCTGTCTCTCTCTCTCTCTCACTGTCCACTCTGCCTGTCAAAAAAAAAAAAAAAAAAGTGAGTGCATGACAGATGCCATTATATGTCATTAAAAAGCCACGATAAAGTGGACACGCAAAGCTACACACGTGACAAACTTGCTTAGCTCTAACCATGCACACACACCCGAGTGAAAAGGAGGAAGCCTGAATCAGATCAGTGGGTTTTCTCAGCGTCCGAGTCTCGGTTGTGATTCGGTACTCACGAGGCCTCACGAGGTGTCACCATTAGCAGGAGCTGAGGGAAGGGTACCCATGGGCCCTTTGCATTTTTTAAAAGATTTGTTTATTTATTTAATTGAAAGACAGAGTTACAAAGAGAGAGGGAGAGACAGAGAAACAGAGGTTTTCCCTCTGCTGGTTCACTCCCCAGATGGCTGCAGAAGCTGGGGCTGGGCCGGGCTGAAACCAGGAGCTTCTTCCAGGTCCATGTGGATGTAAGCACTTGGGTCCTCCTCCACCACTTTCCCAGGCCACAGCAGAGAGCTGGATGAGAAGTGGAGCAGCTGCGACTCGAACTGGCGCCCATATGAGATGCCGGCATTGCAGGCAGTGGCTTAACCCACTACGCCACAGCGCCGGCTCTTGCGTCATTTCTTGCAATTGCAAGTGACTCTACAAAGACCTCAAAATTAGAAGTTTACTAAAAACAAACAAACAAAAAAAAAAAAAAAAAAAAAAACCTTGAACAAAATAAAAAGATAAGCTGGGTGGGGCTGCTTCAGGCTCCTCTGCAGCTCAGGGTCGGGATAAAGACTCAAATCCCTGCAGCACAGCTGTGAGCAGCAAACAGAGCCTGCAAGGGAGAAGACCCAGAGAGGCAGAGAAGGCACGGCCTGGGGGCCTGGGGGCCTGGGGAATCACACGCTCCACCCTCCCGGCCTCAGTACACGCCCTAAAAGGTGTGTGTGTGTGTGTGTGTGTGTGCACAAGCACTTGCACATGTGCTTTGGGGGGAGGGGGCTCTGGGAATGAAAACACTGCACACTCTCACCACTAATCCCGTTATTCATTAAGAGCAGAGCTGTATCAATCTGATAAGCGCCTATGGACATGAGAATCAAGCACATTTGTAGTATCAGAGGGGAAGAAAAACTAGAAAAAGGTAAGCTTTTTGTCAGTTTCAAGGTCCTGACTTCTTGTCCTGCTGGTCCGTAGTTTAAAGATTTATTTATTTGGGCCGGCGCCGTGGCTCAATAGGCTAATCCTCCACCTTGCGGCACCGGCACACCGGGTTCTAGTCCCAGTTGGGGCGCCGGATTCTGTCCCGGTTGCCCCTCTTCCAGGCCAGCTCTCTGCTATGGCCAGGGAGTGCAGTGGAGGATGGCCCAAGTGCTTGGGCCCTGCACCCCATGGGAGACCAGGAAAAGCACCTGGATCCTGGCTCCTGCCATCGGATCAGCGCGGTGCACCGGCTGCAGCGGCGGCCATTGGAGGGTGAACCAACGGCAAAGGAAGACCTTTCTCTCTCTGTCTCTCTCTCTCACTGTCCACTCTGCCTGTCAAAAAAATAAAAAAAAATAAAAAAATAAAAAAAAGATTTATTTATTTGAAAGGCAGAGTTACAGACAGAGAGAGGGGTCTTTCATCTGCTGGTTCACTCCCCAAATGGCCGCAATGGCAGGAGCTGGGCAGATCTGAAGCCAGGAGCCAGGAGCTTCTTTCTGCATGGGTGCAGAGCCCCAAGCACTTAGGCCATCTTCCACTGCCTTCCCAGGCCATTAGCAGAGCGCTGGATTAGAAGAGGAGCAGCCATGACCAGAACCATTGCCTATATGGGACACCGGCCTCAAAGGTGGAGGGGTAATTTACTAGGCCATAGCACCAGCCTCTCCCTGGTCCCTAGCTTAAAATGCAGGTGGGTTGTTTGTTTGTTTTTACTACAGTGTGGTAAGGCCAACACATCAGCAGACCACCACCCCTGAAGAGATGGTTACTCCTAGTTCCCAGGAGGCAGGTGCATGCCGAACCTCGCAGGGCCACATGGGAGGAAGCAGAGGGAGGGGAAACGCAGTGCAAGGGCTTTAATGTGGTTTCCCCTGGAAAGAACTGGAGGCGAGGGTGTGCAGGCCTCAGACCACTTTTGTGGCCTCTGGCACAGGGGCTACCCCCAGTTTTCTGATTCTGTAGGGGTTTGGGCTGTGGACTGGTTGATTTGCATCAGAAAGACGCTCCCAGAACTGTTTAGTTTCTAGGAATTGGCTAACCCTGGGAGGTGGGAGCTGCTCCACGGCCCCAGGTGTGTCAAAGGATCAGAATACTTGCTAAATACTGGCCCAACACCCACAACAGGTCTGTCACCTGGTAGGGGATCAGGGAACAGCTGCTGAAGGAGGAGAGGAGGGAGGCAGGGGAGAGCGAGGCGGCTGGCTGAGGACAGTCCAGATGCAGGGCAGAGAAAAAGCTCCCATCCATGGGTTCACTCCCCAGATACCTGCCAGCCAGGGCTGGGCCAGGCCAGAGCAGCAGCCAGGAGCTCCTTCCAGGTCTCTCAGGCGGCTGGCAGGACTCTGCAGCCTCCCGGGGTGTGCATTAGCAGGAAGCCAATTCGGAAGCAGAGCAGTCAGGACTCGAACCCAGGCACTGCAATATGGGATGCAGGAGTCCCGAGCAGAGGCTTAACCCACTGCTCCACACGGCCCACCCCGCCTATATCATCCTCTCTGGTTCCCTGGGTGGCCTGGGCTCCCTCTACCCTCTCCAGCCACCCGGGAACTGTCCTGCAAACAGGCAAGTCAAGTCCCTGATCACAGGAACCTATCAAGTGGGCTCACCAGGGGGCTGTGTTCCAGCCGCTTCCCGCTCCACCAGGCAGCATTTCCATACACCCGACTCATCGATGTTTTGGTTTTGGATGATGTTTTGGTTTTGGATGCCGTTTGCTTGTGGCTAGGTAATGTGCACAATGAAACACCTCAATGGGCACTAAGGGCTGGCGATACAAAAGGAAGCCTCCCCATTTTCCGGCTCCCCAGGTCCCCTTTTCTACACGGGAGCACAGCAGTGCATCTCCCGCGCCATCCTACGAACAGCAGCAGGCTGCACTCCTGATTCTCCGCGCCGCATTTTTCTCTTAATGGATCTTGGCGCTCCTTCCACATCAGAACATGCGGAACGACCTTGCAGAGGCTGCACGGGCCCCCAGGGTTTTGGATGGGCCCTGGTTGACTGGATCAGCCCGCTCCTGATGGAGAGACGCGCAGGCTGTGAAGAAGGCTCTTGTGTACACATCCCCACCTCAGGTGGGAGTATCTATGGGGTAAATGCCGGAAAGCAGAACTATCATGTGGGAGGGCATTTCCAAAATACTGCCCAAAGAGACTGACACCCCCAGCATTGCATATGCAAGGCAACTCGTCCGATTTCACGCTTAGCTACAGTGGCAGATCAAGCCTGGGGCTTCCAGTTGACAGGTGGCCCTGAGCTAACCACCTGACCCTGGGGGCACAAACTGTGTTGAGTTTGTGCCAGGAGCTGAGTGAGGCCATCTCCCCTGACAGAGACCTCAACATCTTCATCTGAAAATGAGGAGAGCACTCTAAAAGTGTCCTTTCACTTCTAACCTCCAAAGTCGCTTTGCCTCCCCGGGCCTCGGTGTACCCATCTGCAAAGTGGGAAGCACAGTCCCCTGTGTTTTTTCTCTTTGCTGGCAGATGAGAAGGCACAAACAGATGGTGGACATGAATGTTCCAGGGAAGTTGGGGGCTCCTCCACGGGACAGAGCAATAATTAAACGCCTTTGGAAGGCCAAGGGCGTGCAATCAGTAGTCAGAGTTTTGCACTAAAGAACAGCATATACAGAAGTAGACCACCTCGGGATGTCCAGAGGTAGGCGATGCCTTCACCCATGTGCTTGTTCCCTCTGGTGAACATGCAGTTCCGTCCACGGGGACCTGGGTGACTCCCTCCTTCCTGAGTGGCGGCTCTCCGGCCCCTTTCAGAGTCCCCTGGCAGACTCCGGGGTTCCAGCTCACAGTCCCTCGCTTCAGCACCTGGATCTGGACTTTCATCACCGGGGGGGGGGTGTCTCTGCATTTCCAAGCCCCCCCCCAACCTCTGAACTGCTGCATTTCCACACTTCTGGGACCCAGCAAGGAGCTCCATCCACAGAGGGCTGCGTCTAGCACCAGGCATTGCGTGGACGACAGGTGGGCCTGGGGACTGGACAGGGGACTCCGACGACAAGCTCCTCGGCATCTCTACTCTGCCTGGGTTGGACGGACTCCGACAGACTCCTGCTCAGGGGCATATGACCTCTAATCCCCTTACTCAGTGGCAAGGCACTACACGGGGAGACACAAGGCACTACACGGGGAGTGGCAGGCAGTGTGGTGACCAGGGGCAGCCTGGTGACCAGGGCTCAACTCCTCCTGGCTATTAACAGAAGATTTTCAGAAGAAACCATAAATCCAATGTTTTTTAAATTCTCCTGATTTTATTTATTTATTTGAAAGGCTGAGTGACAGAGGGAGAGTGACAGAGAGAGAGATCATCTATCCACCGGTTGACTCCCCAAATGGCTGCAACAGCCAGGGCTGGGTCAGGTGAAGCCTGGAACCAGGAACCACATAGGTGGCAGGGACCCAACTCCTTGGGCCATCGTCTACTGCCTTCCCAGGCACATCAGCAGGGATTTGGTCAGGAAGCAGAATAGCTGGGACTTGAACCAGCACTCCGATGGAGGACGCCCACATCCCAAGTAGCAGCGGCTTAACCAGCTGCACCACAGCACCAGCGCCATGTTCTCCTGGTTTTACAGTGGGGTTTATTCTAATTTTTTTTTTTTTTTTTTGACAGGCAGAGTGGACAGTGAGAGAGAGAGACAGAGAGAAAGGCCTTCCTTTGCCGTTAGTTCACCCTCCAATGGCCGCCGCGGCTGGCGTGCTGCGGCCGGCGCACCCCGCTGATCTGATGGCAGGAGCCAGGAGCCAGGTGCTTCTCCTGGTCTCCCATGGGGTGCAGGGCCCAAGCACTTGGGTCATCCTCCACTGCACTCCCTGGCCACAGCAGAGAGCTGGCCTGGAAGAGGGGCAACCGGGACAGAATCCGGCGCCCCGACTGGGACTAGAACCCCGTGTGCCGGTGCCACAGGTGGAGGACTAGCCTAGTGAGCCGCGGCGCCGGCCTATTCTGATTTCTAAGAAGACATTCTAGGGGTGTGCGACACTGGCATCCCATACCGTCAGCAGTTCAGTGTCCCGGCTGTTCCACCTACTGTCCAGCTCCTTTCTGGTGGGTCTGGGAGGGCAGCTTAAGATGGTCCAAGTGCTTGGGCCCCTGCCATCCATGTGGGAGGCCGGGATGGGGTTCCTGGCTCCTAGCTTTGGCAGCTGGGCCCTGGGGCCGGCCATTTGGGGAATGAACAAAAGGATGGAAGGTCTCTCTCTGCTTGTCTCTTCCGCTCTCTGTGACTCTGCTTTTCAAATAAATAAATAATCTTAAAAATTTTCTGAGAGTTAAACAGAACTATCACTTGGTTGTAGGCCCCAGTTTTGGCATTTTTGATACGTGCCCTCCTCTCTCCCATTGTACAGATGAGGAAATTGAGGCCCAAGCCGCCAGAAGTGTCAGTCAAGACCCGGCGCCCACACCTGTCCCAGTGCTCTGTTTCCCACTCCGCGGAGCCCGTTTCTAATCCCAGCTGCTTCTCCCGGCATCTCCGCTCCTTCTCTTGTCTCTATGAGAGAGTGTTCCTTAGACAACAGACCGCCCCCGCCCGCCGCTGCGGGTGGAAGCGACCCCACCCCAGCCCCGCACCCGGTGGCTCGCGCCTCCCGGCTCCGCACCTGTCCCCACCGCCCCCGCCCCAGGTTTCCGGAGCAGCGGTCGGCGGGTCTCGCGGGGCGGCTGCCGTCAGCGTCCCCTTCCCGGCGGCTGCGACCCCTCCCCGCTGACCTCACCCGCGCCGCCGCCTCGCGCGGGTATAAGAAGCGGCCCCGGCGAGGAGCGCGCAGCCTGCGCCCGGAGTCCTTCGAGCGTTCGCCAACTGCAGCCCCGCCGGCTCCACGCCTAGAGCCCGCGCCTTGCAGGTAACCCGCGCCGACCCCTGTCCGGAAGCCCTGGGGAGGGGGCCCCTCCGCCCGTCCTCGGCGTGAGTCCCCAGGGCCCGCGCTGGGGAGGGCGCTGCGCTCTCACCCGACGTGTCCGGCAGGGACTGGGAGGGACGGTTCCTGCTGTGCGCTAGCGTCCCGGGCCCCGTAGCTCTGGGCGCGGAGCACAGGAGAGAGACTTGCGGTCCACCCCGCACGGGTTCCCGCGCAGGACGAGGCGTCCCGGGACTGGGCGCGAGAGCCCGGGAGCTGGAACCCGAACCCGAGCATTGGAAGAGGTGTTTTCGCGTTGGGATTATCTGTGAAATTTGTATCGTAGCGTTGGGAGTGAGATTGCTAGCATCGGCAACGTTTCCGTTCGAAACAGAGCCTCGACTCCGATCCCCGCTGGCCATGGCGGAGAGAGAGCCCCAGGCGGGGCCAAGGTCTCGGTGGTCACCTTCCGGGGCGTCCAGCCCTGCGCGGGCTTCCGCAGCGCCCCGCCACACTGAGCGGTGGCGGAGGCGGAGGCGACGGTGTCCCCGTGGCCTCCTGGAGCGCGCGGCTCCGGGCGCCTGGATGGGCGAGGACGCAAAGCCTGGGCGGACCCCCCAACCCTGTCCCTGCACAGGCTGCAGGTGGGCCTGCTGCTAGGGGCGCGGTTGAATGGTGCGAGGCTTGCTCCCCAGCGTCGCGCCCAAACCGAGCCGGCAGGGTGGGGTTCTGCGCGCTCAGGCTCTGCTTTCTCTGTGTCCGCCGACCCCAGACGCCATGATGCCTGGTCCTTGGTTGCTACTAGCCCTGGCTTGGACCTTGACCCTGACCGGTGGTGTCCCTGGTGGCCGCGCGCAGCCAGAGTCAGTCCATCAAGAGGGGGCGACGGCCCCCGAACGTCCTGGCCTGGAAGAACTCCTGCGCCAGGCTGAGCGCCTCCTCCTCCTCCGGGAGGACCTCCAGCGGCTGCGAGGAGACCAGGGCGAGCTCCCAGGTGAGGCAGGGAGGGGGGAGCCTGGAGGGTTGGGGGCGCCTTGGCTGTCCAGCTTTTCGCCTTTGAGAAGCCCTGGGATCGCTCCAGGGACGGCCTCTGCAAGGTCTTGTATTGACTGTTCACTGGGGTCACATTCCGGCTCTGGGCTGGGATACTCAGAGAACAGACCTGCAGCAGGGACGCTCTGAGTGCTGGCGGGCCAGGCTAACTGGGGGAAGGGGCAGTTTAAATTATTGCCTCCCAGGCGCCTGTGTGCCTGGTGCTGTGGCTCAGGCCCTTGCTTAGGTAGGTATAGCCACCACCATTCCACACAGAAAAAAACTGGAGGCCCAGAGAGGTTGAATGGCTTGTGGTCATACAGCCAGGGAGTGGCCAAGCCGGCGTTAGCACCCAGAGGCCATGGCTCTGACCCCGCGTGTGTCTGCGAGGCCTGGGAGACCATAACCCTGGTGCACCTGCTGGCCTGTTTGCTTCCACAGAGTCCCAGATCCTCCAACTTGACCGGCTTCCCAAGCGCCAGCATCCGGGCAAAAGGGAGGAGGAGGCCGAAGAGGGAGTTGAAGAGGAGGAGGAGGAAGAAGGGGGTGCTGCAGGACCCCACAAAAGGCAGCACCCCGGCCGCCGGGAGGATGAGGCTTCCTGGGCAGCCGATGGAACCCAGCACAAGTGGCAGCACCCTGGCCCGCGCTCCCCCTGGCTCGAGTATGCTGCCACCAAGAGGCAGCACCCAGGCAGGAGGATGGTGGATCCTAAGGTCCCAAGGAGCTGGGAGGAAGAGGAGGAGGAGGAGGAGGAGGGAGAGGGAGCCCTGATGCCCGAGAAACGCCAGCATCCGGGCAAGAGGGCCCTGGGAGGCCCCTGTGGGCCCCGGGGAGCCTGCGGTGAGGCAGGTCTTCTGCTGGGGCTCCTGGATGGCCTGAGCAGGGGCCAGAGGGTGGATGAGAAGCGGCAACACCCTGGGCGGCGGGCGGCCTGGGCCAGGGAGTCCCTGGAGGAGTGAGCCCAGCTTCCTGTAAAGTCAGGTTTGGGGTCTGGAGGCGTCCTGAGCCCTGTGTGCCGTCCCCCTTCTGTGACTCCCTCTTTCCCTCTGCCTTTGATCCTGGACCATAAACCCCAGCCCCCTGTATATATGTGCACCCCAGCCCCTGGTCTTGTCCCCTCCAAGGATAGGAGAAAGTTGGATTATTAAGTTAAAACTTCCTAGCACCCCACTGTGCCCTGCGGGCACGGGTCCAATCCCAGGGCCCGTCTTCACACCACCTCCACCACCACCTGCTCCCTTTCCTTAACCCTGGCCAGGGTGGTCGTCCTCTGTCTTCTAGAATGCCCAGAGTGGGACAGGAAGGGAGTTTGGAGTTGAAGCTTTTGTGCCCAAATCCAGCTTCCATCCCCTGCCCTGTGGAGCAGGATCCCCCCACCCATCCAGGGGAGCTAGGATCTTCTCCCCTTCTTGGGCGTCCTTTCATAGGTGGGCAGAGACCCGCCCCGCAGCTGTATCCTACTCGTGGGGAGCACATGTGGGTGGAGACACCCTGGGGTGCTGTGCTGTGGTAGCTGTGGAAATGAATGGCATAGGAACATTAGAACATGGTGCTGCGAGTCGTGGCTTGTACAGAATCCTCTAGGCACCCCTCTCTGGTCCGGGACAGTCATCCTGATGATAATAAAATGTGCATCCCAATCGTCTCAGCGCTTGATACTTGCGGTTCTGCCCCTGCTGGCACGGGGATTCTGTTGGCCATCGAGAGGAGAATTTAAAGGGGATGGGACGGCCGGCGCCACGGCTCACTAGGCTAATCCTCCGCCTTGCAGCGCCAGCACACCGGGTTCTAGTCCCGGCCGCCCCTCTTCCAGGCCAGCTCTCTGCTGTGGCCAGGGAGTGCAGTGGAGGATGGCCCAAGTGCTTGGGCCCTGCACCCCATGGGAGACCAGGATAAGTACCTGGCTCCTGCCTTCGGATCAGCGCGGTGCGCCGGCCGCGGCGGCCATTGGAGGGTGAACCAACGGCAAAGGAAGACCTTTCTCTCTGTCTCTCTCTCACTGTCCACTCTGCCTGTCAAAAAAAAAGGGTGGGGGGGGGGGAATGGGACTAGAGCTGCCCGGCTCTACTATAGAAGGAATCAGGCCCTGGGGGGCGGGGGCGGGGGTTGGAAATTCCTCTCTGATGTCCTGTCTCAGAAGACACTTGAGAGACAGACGGGGCCTTTGGAGCCCGAGCAAAAGAAGGGCTGTGGGAAGAAACCCAGGTGGATGAGTGGCGCTGTGGGTCTCAGAGGCCAGCCTGGACCCCAGCCTCGAGTTTGCTCGACTCGGGATGGCGTGGGGAAGGGGAGGGCTAGATGGGCTCAGATCTCCAGTGCTTTTGGTTCTGTGGCTGTCAAGTGCTGTGCCACCCAACAGACATAAGAACACAAAGGAACAGGATGCAATCAGAAGACACAAACCAGGGTATTAGAGGGCCAGTCAGGGAGTTGGGCTGGGTGTGGGACAAGAGGAGGTGGTGGGGACTGTGGCAAACTGAGGGCGTCATCTGAAGATACTGAAATCCAGAAACCTTACGGAGCACGGGAATCCAGCTGTAGCAGTCATCACACATACTCAGTACTTCCAGGCACTGCCCTAGCCACTGCATATATGCTTTTAATGCTCACAGCAGTCTTTCCAGGTGTCGCTCTTACCTTATATGTGTGAGCACTACTGAGGAAGCCCGGGTGGGGCTCACTCGAGCAAGCTGTCGGGCCGAATCTCACGCACTCCTTGCCAGTTTGCAAACTCTGACTCAGCCTCAAGCCCAGAGTGGCATCAGGTCATTCGACCACCCTCTGTTTGGTGGACAAATGGGCTTTGAGTCACCTCCAGGAGTTGGGGAGGGGATGGCTAGAAGTGCATCTAAGACTCAGCTCCTGGGGCTGGTGCTGTGGCGCAGTAAGTTAATCCTCCGCCCGCAGCGCCGGCATCCCATATGGACGTCGGTTCTAGTCCCAGCTGCTCCACTTTCCATCCAGCTCTCTGCTGTGGCCTGGGAAGCAGTGGAGGATGGCCCAAGTGCTTTGGGCCCTGCACCCATATGGGAGACCAGGAAGAAGCTCCTGGCTCCTGGCTTTGGATCAGCTCAGCTCCGGCCGTTGTGGCCAACTGGGGAGTGAACCAGGATGGAAGACCTTTCTCCCTCTCTCTCCCTCTCACTGTCTGTAACTCTACCTCTTAAATACACAAATAAATAAATAATCTTAAAAAAAAAAGACTCAGCTCCTGCTCCTGGTTCAGGGGTTGAGGGGAAAGAGGAGATTTGGGGTTTACAAGATGGCAGTCATACCCAGCATCGCTACTGGTGCTCCAAGAATCCTCTTCAGCACTGAGAATTTGATGAGAAAACAACACAGGGACCAGAGGCCTGCCCGAGGTGTGTGGGATGTGTGGATTCTGGCTTGGCCCCAGACTTGGCCTTCCGTGCCACCTGGCTGCCTTCTTCTGGAAGCTCTGGCATCCCACTGTCGCTGTCAGGGGCTGCCCACAGACCCCTCCAGAAAGTGGGCACTGGAACAGGGAAGGGCTGCTGATAGAGCACGTGCTCCGTGCTTATGGACACGTTGTCCCTGAAGCCCTGTGACTGCCCCAGGGAGCTGGACTCTCAGTTCTGTTAGCAGCTGACTGGCAGTGAAGTGTGAGGTTCAGCTGTTTGCCAAGGACACACCCATCCCTCCAGACTTGACTGGGATGTGGGGTGTCACCTTCCCAGAAATGAGACCATTTGAAGAGGAAAAAGCCCGCCTTTTTAATGTTTTTCCTTTTGCCTTGTGAGTGATCCTGCTAGGGCATGGTGATTTGAAGAGTCTGGGCATGGGTTTCCATCCTAGACAAGTCATTAGGTCAGTTTGTACCTCAGTCTTCTTATCTGTAATGTGGGCATAATAATCCCTACAACCACCTCAGGATCATTCTAAGGATCAAAGAAGATGGTAGGATCCATGTACAATTCCTAGCGCAGTGCCTGGCATAAAGTAAACTTCATAAATGGAATTTTTGAGGACTTAAAATTGAACCTTGAAGACCCACCTATTCTTTGCTTCATTCTCCAATCACAACATATGAAGAAGAACAACAATACAAAAGAAAAAGCCCATTGCAAGGTCCATGCCAGTCATCGGACTTTATCCCCAGAACAGTCCTCCTGCTGCTCCCCAAACCACACCCTCCACTCCCCTCCAGCACATGAACTTTTGCTCAGCTTAGCATGCCTAGTGGAGATGCTCTGTACTTCCTGGTTTCCCAAATGCCCTTGCAGTTGGAGTGGAGTCACATGACTTGTCCTGGCCAATGAGCTCTGAGCAGCAGTGTGTCCCTTTCAGACTGAGGCAGTTAGACCCCCACATCTTCTTCCTGCCTTTGAAATGCTATGGCACGTGACAGGTAGATTCTGAGTCCTTGCATCACAACATAGAAGTTAGACACTGCTTGCCCCATCAGACTTCTCGTGTGCAGCAAGTAAGCCTGTGTGGTGTTAAAACACAGAAACCCAGGGACTCCTTTGTTACCACAAGCTTAGCCTGTTCTGGCAAGTGCAGGTGCCTCTGCTCTGTCTCTCTCCCCTTGAAACCTTCCCACCCCTCCCTTCTCACACGTGTCTGCTTTCACCAGCACTGCCGAGGCTGGGCCTGCTATGAAGTGGCTGCTCAGTAAGCATTTGTTCAGTGGAAGCTGAGTTTCCAGGGGCTGGTGCTGTGGTGCAGTGGGTTAATGCCCTGTCCTGAAGCGCCGGCATCTCATATAGGCACTGGTTCTAGTCCCAGTTGCTCCTCTTCCGATCCAGCTCTCGGCTGTGGCCTGGGAAAGCAGTGGAAGATGGCCCAAGTCCTTGGGCCCCTGCACCTGCATGGGAGACCCAGAGGAAGCTCCTGGCTCCTGGCTTTGGATCGGCGCAGCTCTGGCCATTGCAGCAAATTGGGGAGTGAACCAGCGGATGGAAGACCTCTCTCTCTCTCTCCCTCTGCTTCTCCTCTCTGTGTAACTCTGACTTTCAAATAAATAAATAAATTTTTTAAGTTTCCAGTCACTTGTGTCTTAGCTCCCCAGCTGACTTCCCCCCAGCTCCCTGTCCCTCAGGGATTTCCCATCCACGCAGGAGGCGGGCAAGCTCGCTAAGAGGGACCAAAGGATGCAAGGGAACACAGATGAGGGAGAGACTCTGGTTGGGCAAGGAAGGCTTCCTGGAGGAGGAAACACCCAAATGAGTGGAAAGATAAGAGGGTTGATGTGGAAGGAAAGCGTTAACCAAGGTGTGGTGGGAAGACACGATGTGTGCTTGGAACTGCTCACAGCGTAAATCTGAGGTGTTCTGGTTCCTCTCTCCCTTCACACACCCTAGCTTCTGCCCTGAGAGGCTGAGTCTTGTGCCTGACCCACTGTCCCCCTTCCTGGTTCAGTCCAGGAACTCTGAGTCCCACGGCTTAGAAATGCCAGGGAGCTGTGTGGATTGGGTGGAGTGAGAGATATCTCTTTGTAGGGAGCAGTCTAGCAGTTGAGTTTTGATAACGTTTTGAGTTGAGGATAAAACAAACAAACAAAAAAACTCTGAGCCCTTATTCTGGGGCCAGATAACTGGGGAAAGCACTTTTCCCATGGCTGTGCGGTCTATAGTAGGGATCAGTGGGGCCATGTGGAGTCGATTTGTAACCCCTGCTGCTCACTGGCAGCTTAGAGAAAAGGACATCGAGAGAGTACGGTGACTTTGCCAGTTCATGAGCTCGAGTTCTGGGAGTTGTCTCCATGCCTCCCCTCCCCCACCTTCCACATTCAGTTATTAAATGCCCTAGGGACGCTGTCTCTGAACCATGTTTAAGATTCAGTGGTTTCCAGTCGGCGCCGCGCCTCACTAGGCTAATCCTCCGCCTGCGGCGCCGGCACACCGGGTTCTAGTCCCAATCAGGGCGCCAGATTCTGTCCCAGTTGCCCCTCTTCCAGGCCAGCTCTCTGCTGTGGCCCGGGAGTGCAGTGGAGGATGGCCCAAGTGCTTGGACCCTGCACCCCATGGGAGACCAGGAGAGGCGCCTGGCTCCTGGCTTCGGATCAGCGCGGTGCGCTGGCCGCGCCGGCCACTGGGGGGTGAACCAACGGCAAAGGAAGACCTTTCTCCCTGTCTCTCTCTCTCTCACTGTCCACTCTGCCTGTCAAAAAATAAAAAATAAAAATAAAAAAATAAAAAAAAGATTCAATGGTTTCCTTCCAGCCCCTCCATCACCACCCTGGTCTGGGCCACCCTCATCCCTCCCTCATCTGGAGATGACAGGGGTATCCCCACCAGTCCTGGCTTGTATTCTTGGCCCCCAAACCCATTCCCCACACAGCAGCCAGAGGACCTCCTTGGAGTGCAGACCCAACCCAGTAGCCACCCTGTCTGAAGCCTTTTGTGCACCTCACCTAGGATAAAATCCAGACTCCAGGACGGCTGTGATGGCCCGCCCAGAGGCCTCCTTTCTGTTTCCCGAGCACACCTCATGCTGCTCCCTCTGTCTAGAATCCTCTTTCCTCCTCCTTTTCCCCACTTTCCTTCCCAGAGTTTCCTCACATTAAGTGGGAGTTGAAAGGCAAAGACTACATTTCCCAGATGCTCTTTAAGCTAGATATATTTTTGGGTGCCCAGTGAGGTCTCCACATGGATATTCTCACGTGAGGTTTGGACTATTTT